AAGCAAGAATATAAATGATTGTTGCCTAACACCTAGAGATTGGAAGTTCGATTCTTTTCCGCAAACTGTTTTTTTCTGACATTTCGTTTCAATAAACTGGTTAAAAAACAATTCACCAGTTTGTTTACATAACCACACAATGATGTCACGTATACACAACTCTATTATTAAAGCACCCAATAGTCAGAAACAGAAACATGTTGGACATGCCCGAAAGACTGTTCTCAGTTCAGTGTACTGTTGGACTAACCAGAGCGGTGAATGATTTGGCAAAAACCGGCATCATATGATCATATACTCCTGGATATTGGACTCAGACAATTAGTAAAGCCCCTTTCACACAGCGCTTTGTACCCGGCAAATTGCAGGCAAATTGTTCTTTGTGTCGTGAGTGCTTGAAGTATATCAGAAATAAAACGGGACATCAGTTCACTGTCGGGATTTTTTGTGTCGCGCTGGATCCAGTGTAGACAGCATCACTGATTATTATGGGTTCTTATTTCGTATTATGGGTTCTATTTGCTTTTGTCGCGTTGCATCGGGCCGCTCACCTCTGGTGTAGACACGGTGTTAAATAACTTTAATACTAAACTAAGTAATCTAAAGGAAAGCACATAATTGTGTACATTTATTACCTGCAAGAAATTCTGACAATAAAATATGATGACAGACTACTGGCAATCTGACAAAGACGTGTCACCACAGAAATGCGACCATCTTTGACGGAAAACATGTTTTACTGAATCTTTGCCATATACCGTTTTCAAGTGAGGTAGCCAGGGGGTAGAGTGTGTTCGTGTCTGTCCATGTGTTTTGAGATGACAGGGAACAGGGCAGTTTTAAGATGACCCAGATACAACACTGCTGATGAGCTCATCCTGTCATTTCACCTTAATGTCACGATTACTCGCTAATGCGTGTGTGTGAAAGCAGATATACATGTGCACACACTCATGCACACACTTAATCAGTCACTCGCAGTCACTGTCACGTCGCACACCCCCTATAGAGTGGTTGGAGTCAGAGTTTTAGAGAGAGAACACATGAAATGAGATGCCCTTCTGCTCTTCTCTCTTTCATGAGTTGTCATCTGCTAACACACTGGATCAGAGCTGAGATGACAGGAGAGGAGCTGAGTTGGACTGAATGTGATGTGGAGACAGTCTCCACCTTGTGTTCATAACTTAGTATTTCAAAAAAAAAAAAAAAAAACATCATGTCAATAGAAGTGAATTCTGTTTCCTGTCTGTACTAGCAAGTAATGAAGACAATTCAACTTATTAGATGGTGATGCTGGTTTGAGTTTAGGTTTTTACGTAGAAAAAACAACGTGCATATATTGTGGCAGCCAAACGGACCCCACAAGTAAAGTGATTTAAAGGAATAATCACTCATGTCATTCCAAAATTGATGAATTTATTTCTTCCATGGAATACAAAAGGAGAATTTGTTGTGCTGGTACTCTTTTCCATGGAATTACAATGAGTGAGGTCTGACCCTTTCAAACTTCAAAAAGGATGCAAAACCACTATAAAATTATCGTAAAGAGGCCCGTATGACTATTTTTATTTAGCAAGGATGCATTAAATTGATCAAAAGTGATGTTGAAGACATTTGCATTGTTACAAATTTTCTTTTACGATTTTCTTTTAAAGGGGTCATATAATGGTACATGCACTTTTACAAGTTGATTGTACTGAAATGTGTGTTGGCAGTGCCTGTACACAAACATCATATAATGATAAAAATCCATCCAGTGGTTTTGTTTTAATCTCCTTATATGTTTTCCCCTGCCTCAAATCGAGCCGTTCGTTTTTGTGACGTCAATAAAACGGACGCCCCTCCCACGATTGTTGATTGACGGGAGCGTTTCAACACAGACCCGCCCTCGCACATGAGGTAGCTGTCAATCATAGTCTGCGCGGCGCGGACCGGACCGGCGCGGTCATTGTTGATGTGCCGGAGCACTGTCTATGAGCAGAATGGCGTCTAAGCGATTGTGGTGTTCTGTTCTTGGGTGTAATAACGAACACAGTCATTTTAATGTTCCTGAATCCGAACCGCTGAAGACGCAGTGGCTGAGTTTTGTTTTCGAAGGGAATATTCCACACGAGCAACGTCAATGCTTTCATGTTTGCGCGAATCATTTCACACACCAGACTGCTTTATAAACGAGGGTCAGTATAAAGCTGGATTTGCTAAGAAGCTTTGCTAAAAAGGATCGGTACCAGATATTCGTGTTCCTGCTGAACCTCCAGAAGAACGGAAGTGAGTGAAACGTTTTATTAAACTTTATATTAATATATTAATCTTTGCAAATCGCTAGCTGCACGCTTCACAAATGAATGCGTCTAAGGTTTACACTCAGTCAGGGTACATTACGGCATGTTTTCTATGTATGACGTTCTCAATATAATTCATAATTCCACGTTTATACTGAACAACGCGTTATGGTTATTGTGTTATTGTGTTACAAACGGTGTACGCACAGAACAGAGAGGCGGAGTGAGCGCAGCTCATGATCATTTAAAGGCATATCCACTGAAACTGCGTGCTGAAAACAGAGCTGTTTTTGACCAGGTAAAATAAGTGTTTTCTTACAATACTAATGAGAATTTTTAATTAAAGTATATTACAAACTTTTAATTTAGACCCTAAAGAATCATATTAGCTTGTACAAAAATGGCATTTTACTGCACGTTTTCTTTATCTCCCTAATCAAACACACCTGATTCAACTCATCAGCTCATTAAATATGACCCCTTTAAAGCTGCTGTACAGCCGAAACAAACTTTGTTGCATTATTTTCCTGTTATCACTGTAAAGCTGCTTTGAATCTCTATTGTAAAAAACACTATATAAATAAAGATGACTTGACTTGACTGGGATGCACAATATATCGGACACCATATCGACATCGGCCGATATATCTTAATTTTTTACTGTTATCGTTATCGACCCAATAAGAAAATTTGGCCGATATGTTAAAGCCGATAAATAATGTATTATTTCCTTCAGCTGAGACACTTCTGATGCGCACTGTTCGCCATGATGCTTTTGAATTTGCTGAAATAGGATTGGAATCCCTTCAAAAAGGAAAATACAGTTAAGTGCAACATGCGTAGCGGAAAATCTGTCATATAGGCTACATAAAATTATAATGAAAACATCGTAATTTTGTGCTTGGGACATGGCTTTTAGTGGTGAGACTTTTGTTTTTGTAATTAGGCTCTCAAAATTGTATACAAATTTGGATCTAGATTTATCGGCTAATATATCGGTCATCGGCTATCAAAAGAATTATCGGTATTGGCCAAGACTTGACAAAAAAATCAAGTATCAGTTTCCACACAAAAATATTAAGCATCACAACATTGACAATTGATAATAAGAACATTGAAATTAATAAGAAATGTTTCTTGATCATGAAATCAGCATATTAGAATGATATCTGAAGGATCATGTGACACTAAAGAGTAATGATGCTGAAAATTCACCTTTGCCAACACAGGAAAACAATTAGATTTCAAAATATATTATAGAAAACAGTTATTTAAATATTATTTAAACACTTTAACTGTATTTTTTTATCAAATAAGGGAAGACTTTTATAAAAAATTGTACCGACCCCAAACTTTTGAAAGGTTGTGTAAATTTTAAATGACTGATAGTCATTGCATCTAGTTAGCTCTCAATACATCATTTAAAGAAGCATTTTTGGGAATAATCACTCATCTAATAGTGTAAATTGGGACTATATGTTTATCATGTCAGAGGTCTGAAAAGAGTAATTATTTTTGCATTTGTTTTGTGTCACCAGTGGCACAGAAATTGCACACTTCCCCCTTTGAATTCTACAGTTTGTGCCTGAAAACGCAAGAAAAACACATTCACTCATACACCAGCTGTGTGTAGGTCAAGTTAACCTACTTGCATGTACGATACTTGTGAGTGTATGTGTGTAAAACTGTGTCCTATAAAAGCAGGAGTGTGTGTATCTGTCCTAATAAATTTAAGTGTGTGTGTTTACCCCAGAGATATCCTGTCCGCTACATGGCCATTTATATCTAGTCTCACAAGAGATGGCTGCAGAATATTTTGGTTTATGAAACTTAAGTTTTGATTTAAATCAAATGCAGAAGTACAGATGAATTACAAGTATTAGTACAACCATGATTTATCTGTTCTTTCATTCATTCATTCTGTGCATTCTGAGTGTGAGGATGTTGTGTTGGAGAACTGTGTGTTGAAAAGCTGAGGTTTGTTCTTAATATAGTCATGTACTTTAACTCCAGATGGGGCTTGTTTGTAATGTCACTGAAAGGAAAAGCCTTGGACAGGCAAGCATGGCAGATGTTCCTTCCTCGAGAGAATGTGAGGGAACCTTGCAGTGATTATTTCAAGAGCTCTTAATTTTCTGTCTTTTCTTCTACGATTTTATACTCTGCTCTTGTCAGCTTTAGTCTCATTATTGAAGGAGGCTCCAAGATCAAAAGTCCCTGAAGGATCTTGTACAAAAGACTCATTGAGAGGAGAGTTTGAGGTCTGGGGTGGGATGTACATGTTGTAAGACACCTGAAACTCAAGAAAAACACATTCACACATGCATTTATACACCAGATGCTTGTAGGTCAAGTTTAAATCAATGTTTCTTGATTTAAATTATGTTTTTTGGTTTTAAATCTAATGAACATTTAAATGGCAGACCATAGCATATGGCAGGGTGCTGGATGTGTACTGATGAAAAGCTAGAAATGCTCCTGGAATACAGGATATATATGTAACAAAAATGAGCAATTTTCTAATAATATAGTGGAGAATTATCAGTGGTGGCTTGTGATGGGCCGTTGTAGGTCCCAGTCCCAGTCCATCCCTTGCTGAGAAGACATTTTAGCCTGTAAAATGTCATAAAACCCATTTATATCTCTCTGAACCTCCATAGAACAAATGTTTATCTTTCCTAACCTTTCCATTAATTTCCTTTCTTTTTTCTCTTTCAGCGTTCAAAGATCGCCGTCTACGAGAAGATGTGGTCCTACATGAAGTCCGCCGAGCCTTCCGTGTTCGTTAAGACCACCCCCGACGGAGTGGCTCGCGTGCGCAAGTCAAAGGGGAAGTTTGCGTTCCTGCTCGAGTCCACGATGAACGAATACATCGAGCAGAGAAAGCCTTGCGACACTATGAAGGTGGGAGGGAACCTGGACTCCAAGGGCTACGGTGTGGCCACGCCCAAAGGGTCGGCATTAAGGTGGGTGGAATAATATAACAATTCCCTCTGTTGTTATAGTATTCCACCTACCCTGATTCCACCATCTCTCTCTTCTCTCTGTCTTCATGTTTTGTTTTTCATTCTTATTCTCTCATCCTTCTACCTTTTCTCAATCTCTCTACCTTCATTCTTTTATGTTTATCACTCTACTTGTCTCTCTTTCTCTTGCGGTAAATGACAAGGTAACCGTGTCTTGTGTGTCACGTGTCTTGTGTGTCAAAAAAGTGTTTATTTTTAGTTATGTCTGTTGTGTTAATGTTTTACCGTGTTTCTCTCTACAGAAATGTAATTGAACTTGTTAATTTACAGTCCATTTTTACAGTGTGATGCCTGTTGCTGTTGATTTCCTACACCCTTTTCTCCTGTCCTCCTCCTCCTTTTTAATCTTCTCTGTCCTTCGCTTTGTGCTGTGATTGCAGTTCTGTAATATTTGTGTGGTTGGATTGTTTTTTTTTTCTCTGCACTGGCGCTGTTCTGCCTGCTTCCATGCATGTCATGCCATAAACTGTTTCTTGTCCTCCTGGCAACGGACTGTCCTTGCATCCTTCCCATCACTCACTAGCACTCAACCTCTTTTTCTTTCTCTCACTTCTTTCTGTTTTTCTCTCTCCACTCGGCACTACACACACCTCACTTGCATACACGCTTCTGTCTGTACCCAGTAGCCGACGCAATTAACCAATCAAACGGTCCAACCACTTCACCAGTTAACCGGTCTCTCCTTTGTATTGACCCCTAACAAAAGAGCAACTGGCAGTTGCTGCAGTCTCATTAGATTTCTCACGAACCTGTCCCTTTTCTTACGAGCTATGTGTTTATCGTTTGAAGAAGCGCTGTAAACCTGGCGGTGTTAAAGCTGAATGAGCAGGGCCTGCTGGACAAGCTGAAAAATAAATGGTGGTACGACAAGGGAGAGTGCGGCAGCGGGGGAGGGGACTCGAAGGTCAGCCTCAATCTCACCCAAACAACCATTTCCTAGCTACGAGTAATCGGCAAGGCTGTGACCTATGACCTCCGGCAACAGTACCGTGACCCTCAGGGGTGGACACTAGCAAACTGAGCCTAATGACCCGAGGACATTAGCACCACTGCGACGGCTGCAGTTACTGTCAACGCTGCTAATGTAATGTTTTTTGGAGATTACGTAAACTGTGATCAGATGTGACCCTTTACTTGGCTAATGGAGGAAAGGAAGCAGAGGAGGAGAGGAATAAAGGCTCGGGTGGGTGGATGTGTAGAGCGAGGTCAGGGTCACCAAGAGCGCAGCTTATTAGGATGGTTAGGTTCTTGCGAACCTGCTTCGCGGGTTTGTTTGTGTGGTAAAACAAGCAGCTTGTTCCAGGTAGAAAAGGCTAGGCCCTCTCTGGCTCTCCTCTGATCTGTAACATCAGACCATCACAAAATGTAGTGTTGTTTGTGTATACCAAGGCTCCAGGATTTTAATGGCTATCAACAGAAAGAAAAAATAGAGATGAATAGGGATCTAATAGATAGTGCAAACAAGACCAAAACTGCTCTGGAAAATGGATGTCTGTAGCACATAGAATTGGATGAGCCTATTTGATGTTTATTATTATGTTTAAGGAATAGTTCACCCAGAAATTAAAATTCTGTCATCATTTACTGCACTAGTGTGTTCCAAACATGTGACTTACTTTCTTCTGTGGAACATAAAAGGTGTTTATTTTGTGTTCTGCAGAAGAAAGTAAGTCATACAGGTTTGGAATGACATGAAGGAGAGTAAGAAATGACAGAGTTTTTATTTCTAGGTAAATGATCCCTAGTTTTGGAGCTGTAGTTTAGCGTAGTTATGATTACGTGTTTAGGTTGCAGTTTACAATAACCCTCTAAAAATGTGGAAATGCCCTAGGTAAGGTGGTATTATGGACATTGGACAATATCAACATACAGTAAATGTAAAAATGTTTGGTGTAAATGCATTCAAGTAACTTGCAGTTATCATTGAAGACCAGGAATAATTAGTTTGTTCTTAATTAAATATTAATGGCAATATATGCACGCCACAGTCAGCTGTGATGCCTAATTACTGGATAAACTTAACTCGAGTTTCTTTTTTGCAGATTATTGGGTCAGCATGCCTTCATAGCTTTACCAAATTATTGAAGTATTTACGCTGATATTGTCCAAATCACTATGCCTATGGTGTTTCCAAACATCTGGAGGGCGCTATATGTCGAGTGTCTGTTGGTTAGTAGCAAATTTCTGGTAGTGGCAAAAGAGAAGTGCAAAGACTATTGGTATCTTCACATCTCCAATCAAATAGTCAGATGACAGATTTTTTTTAAAAAAGATGCCATCTTTGATCTTTGGTCTTTGGCCAACTCCCTGCTACAAGTATGCAAATCCTTTTGGAGCCGCTAGCTCTCTCAGATTATTCCCTGAATTGTCGTGTAATCCATGGAAAAGCCGTAGCTCCCTTGTTGGTGGGATTAAAGAAAATATATAAGACCACTGGGACAGACAGTCCTGAAGGGACTAAAACATCACAGGAAAACGTGAGAATTCTAATTAAACACCCCTAGAAATCAAAGGTGGAGAAAGATCTGGTGCCGTATTGTAGACTCACTAAACGCACATTTTCATCTGCAGACGAATGCACAGAAAACCACAAACAAGCACAAATTCATTATACTCACACACGCACACTTCTAAATTAATTTATGGCCACTTTTCTTTAGCCCCTTTGCCTGCAGAATGGTCACCCTGTGTTCAGCCTATCATGAGGGCAAGGCAGCCCCACTCTGTCCTGATTGGTCTTCAAAAGCGGGTTCACTGCAGTAATTGTCTCTCTCTCATGAGTGGAGTCTGAGCTCTAAAAACTGAGAAGAAGATGGCCGCCTAGTCCGTGCATTGATAAGTTGAGCATGCTGGGTGGAGGGTGTCTAGTCTGTTATGACATCACAACTGCATGTTTCTCATTTATTGACCTGAGTCTGATCCAAAATGCATGAATGGAGTAATTCAGCAAATCTAGCAAGTATATTATACTATTATTAGGACACATAGCAAAATTCAAAACAGCTGATTCACTGCAAATATAGAGAATACTCCAACACATACAGCATAAAGCTTTATAGAGTAAACACACAGTACAGTACAGTACAGTACAGAAACAGTGGTGAAAATCCACCCCTACACAGTAGGATGTATTTATGAATGTAGGAATCAGGGCCCCGTTTTTCGAATATGGGTACTGAAAAATCCTTTTTTTTTAAGCAGTGGGCGATTTGACACACTTCAAAACGAAAAACTCTAAAAGAGTTCTTTGAAGCTCATCATAGAGTCATGTGCTCTCAAACCTGTGTATGCTGAAAACAGGATTCAACCATGGCCACTTCAATCTGACGAGAGCACCCTGTTGAAGTACAGTAGGAACAATATTTAGTAATTTATTTAAAATTTGGAATAAAATTGGAGAAGCCATATTTGTACAGTGCTGTTGCATTGAATAAAAGTGTGGATTTCCAATTATAATATAAGTAAACATACTGTAAATACGAGTTGAATGTACTCAAGCATTAGGTCCATCTCTCCATAAACAGATCTCATTCTTTCAAGGTATTATTCGTCGGGTGTCAAACCATTCGAGGTCCGAAGCTGGCTTGTGTCACGGTGGTAAGTATGGTATATTTGCTTTGCTGGATTACAACTCTCATCATTTAGCAGAAGGAAAATAAACTGAGTTTCCCAGCAGTCCTGCTGATGACATATTAACATCTTACAAACGGAAATGTCCACAAGGAATAGTAACATCTTCGTTTCCATTATTTTGTCTGTTTTCATTTAAACAAATGTTTTTTTACAAACAAAATTTGCCATAGGATGCGTTATGAAAATATCTACGAATGCCCCGCGAATATTAATATTCTGTTTATTATTTATGTGCTGACTTTCATAAGGGCTTGGTGTTTTCGTTTGTAAGATGTTTGGCTTCAGCCCTCACCCACCACAGACCGGTTCCCCTTCTGACTGCTGGGTCCTGTTTATCTGTTAGTCAAGTAAGGGTTTTTTCTCCCGATGGATCCGGCTTGCTGAATACTGGGTTAGAAAAGCTGCATTCACACCACTATTACAATAACCAAACTCATCTGCCCAATGCTCTTTGTAATTATGCTCTGTTTGGCTGTGTTACCATGGTTACTCTCTCTGCCTCTGTTGGAACAGTGAGTGCCGATTACTCAAAGCGATAACAGTAGGTAGCACTGCCAGGTCAAAGGTCGAAGGTAACACTGAGGCTAGCCCTGCCTGCATTCCCTCTCTCTCTCTCCATCTCTCCCTCTCTTATTCTTTCGCTGTCTACGATATCAACAGCACAAGGCCAGGTGTCCTACAGTATCGCTTTGGTTAACAGATATTCGGTAGGTTTAAGTTTTAATAACATAAAATAACATAATGGTGCCATGTTATTTATGTTATTTCCCCTCGTGAAGAACTCCTGTAAACCTTGCAGTGTTGAAACTCAGTGAACAAGGCATCTTAGACAAGCTGAAAAACAAGTGGTGGTACGATAAGGGTGAATGTGGGACCAAAGACTCTGGGAGTAAGGTTAGTCTGCTCACTCATTTGCCAACAAACATATTCATATTCTACAAACATCATAACAAGCCTTACTAGTTTTAGTGGATTTGGCTCCAGCTGGATTCACTTCATTTTGGCCCCTTCTTTTGAAAGCCTCTTTACAAATGTAGCAAATATCAAAACCTTTAGCGTTAATGAGACAACACAACAGATCCAACACACACACACACACACACACACACAAGGAGAAATGGCATATTAAGGAAGCTCTTACCAGTGTTCGAGATTCATTATCTTAATGATGTAATAATTAAGTGTTACATAAAAGTATTTTGTAGTAAGCATTCATAGCAGTGATTTAGCAATTAAGTATTTCATTCAATTTTTCCTCTTCTGCTGCTGTGACATGGCCTCATTCGCAAAATTGTTGGTGTTTTGTTTTAACTAATTAGTTTATAAATTGTCTCCAGGCAACATTCATAGATATTAATCATCAGAATGAAATCTTAAAAGAAGCACGGTCACTCTGAAAGTATTTCTAATTGGCCAGATGAAGGGAGACTGAATACCATAGCATGTGAAGATCAATACATTCTGTTCAAGTGAATGTACATACCAGGGACATATCTGTGGTCATTTTATTTCCAGTCCTGATTGAGTTCATGGAACTGCACATGGCCCCCTGCATTAGCCAGTGGCATCGGTTTAATAAAGACCACGTGCAGGAAAGCGTGTTTGCCTGGAGACTCTAGTTGCAATTCTTTTATCCCAATTCTCAATGTAATCCAGTCTGATAAGAAAGTTAATTAACTCTGAAAACATGTCCCATGTGCATAAGCACAGCAGATCCGTTACGAGGCTATACCACTGACTATATAGGCCTGTAACCATGGTAACCGTATTCGGGGAAAACAGGTCTCTAGCTTTGCATTCAAGACCGTAATGCTACACTCCCAGTCCTCGGTTGCTATGGTGCCCTTTCACAGGCTTCTAGTGAAGACAGACCATGTTTGTGTGTGTCAGAGTGTTTCGCAGACAGCCAGGCTGGTGGTCACAGCAGCAGAACCGAGTCCTGTTGAGGCTTGTCTGTGTTTTGAGGTGTGGCGATGGTCGCATGCAGGTGTCTGTTAATGAGTTTTGAAGGCTGTGAAGCTTGCAGAAGTAGTTCAGAGAGGGGAATTGCCATAGTAACATCAATATTCTTCCCCCCTCCTTCTCCTCTTCCTTACTTCCTCTGTTAAGATGGCAGACCGAAGAAGCCAGAGGATCCGACTGTAGCTCTCTGATGGCAGCTTATTTGTCATGTTTCTGTACTGACTCAACTTCACCTCTAGAGGGGGCAACAGGCTCAGAGCTGGCTCTTCTCGTTTGTGTGTGTGTGTGTGTGCGTGTGTGCGTGCGTGTGTGTGTGCGTGCGTGCGTGCGTGCGTGCGTGCGTGTGTGTGTGTGTGTGTGTGTGTGCGCGCATTCTGTTTGAGGGCAGTGTTTCACTGTCTCTCTGGCTAGTAGAGTGAAGGTATGAGAGGAGAGAGGGAATAACTTCTTCCTCTCTTGAGCTGCCTGAGTTTTTAATCAATTAACCTTTGACCTCTGGGCACACCTCATAATGATTTGATGCCCTTTTGAAAACAGCCCTCAAGTACCCCTTTTTATTTAGTTCATCTTCTTTCCCTCCAAGCAAGTTGCGTATGGAATGTGTGTAACAGGGCTTGCACGGCTACTCTTTTTTTACTAGGCGAAAAGTAGTCAGCGAATCACTGTTTACCTTGTTTATATGACTCACCATCAGCAGTCTCTGCTGTTTCCGGCAAGTCTAATTCTGCATTAAAGGTGGGGTTGCGAGTGCAGAGAAAGGTGAGAAATTGCCATTTACAGATTACATTTTTTTTTATTCTTAATCGGTTTCTGTCTTGCTTTGAGTGCCACCTAATTTAAGTTCACTTAGTTTCACAATGCTTTGCAATAAATTTGGCTTGTATTTGAACTCGAAAATGAACCATCTCAGATGTCCGCAGCACTTATGTAACTTTCGCATATTACGTGCTTTGTGAAAGTAAACAGCTCTATGTTGATTTGAATAAATTCCAGATTATTTGAGCATATACTCTTAAGGAAGGGCCCAAAAAGATGTTGTTGTTTTTGTTGTTTTTTGCAGCAAGACATAGAAGAACCATTTTGGGTTCCCTATAAGAACCTTTCAGTGAAAAATTCTAAAACATTTTATATATATATATATATATATATATATATATATATATATTAGTGTGAATAACATTTTATTTCATTTGTAAAAAGTTTATTATAAGTTAACAGCTCGTACCTGTATGATTTTAAGGTACCCTATGGCCCTCTAGCGGTTACAAAACAAAACTGCATGCATTTTGCAAAAGAACATTGTTTTGGTTGTGCTTCAGTTCCCCGTGACTGTGCGGATGAATAATGTTATCCTACTGCTCATAAAACATTCACTACTATGCTTAAGAGATATAACCAGTTTAGATGGAAAGGATCTTAAGATGACTAGCTGAAGATGTTAAGGTTGACACGGTACTTCCTTGAAAATAAATTCCAGCACAGTGCTACAACAACCAAAAAGAAATTACCCTTCATAATAGATAATACTTTACAATGAACTCTGTTAGAGAGCTACATATGGCAATAAAACACCTTACCTTTACCTGCACCTTACCTGCCATCTCCATGTTGCTTTTACAACATTTCAAATCCCTCAGTTCTCGCTATCTCCAAAAGCCAAGCCAATCTTGATTCTCGTTTGAATTCTTTTAATTTCTCTGTCGCATTCTCTTTTTGCAAGCAGAAGCTCTTGTTCGGGGTTGTTTTTAAACGTGATTCCCTGGAGGTTTGAGATTTAGCTGCTCCATGTCAACCTTTCTCGCTTGTTTTGACAACTAACCGATGCCACTCCCACATGCGTCAAAGTAGCTTGAGCAACTCTTCTCTATTTATGGATATGACGAAACACGCACGGAACAGAGTGACGCAAGCACGCAATTTCGCGTGAAAAGCATACCACTAGGTCTAAAATATAAACACTTTTAACAGGCTTGGCTTACCATAGTGAATTAGGGTAAGACAAAAACACGTTACGGAAGAAAGATTGATGGTGTATTGACTCATTTAAATTTTGTTCATTTTGAACAAAAAAGTTACACAGTGCACCTTTAAATAATTTCCAGATTATTTGAGCATACACATAAAAATGATCCTCCTGCCGTCCAATGTATGTAGAGGTGGCGCAGTCAATGACAATGAGTCGACTAGTCGTGCAACCCCTGAGATCGAAAGTGGGGATACGCTGATGTGTGTGAATAAGTGCATGCTGGGTTATGAAAGCTTGCATGCGTATGTTTAAGGTCCTTTATTAGCTATTATATAGTAGTTTGGTGTGCATCCAAGTATACTACTTTTGTACTAACTGTGTCTCCCCCCCACAGGATAAGACCAGCGCGCTGAGTCTCAGTAACGTGGCCGGCGTGTTCTATATCCTGGTGGGGGGTCTTGGTCTGGCTATGACTGTGGCTCTGGTGGAGTTCTGCTATAAGTCGCACCAGGAGACCAAACGACTCAAACTTGCCAAAAATGCCCAGAACTTCAAACCAGCTCCTCCGTCCACTGCACAGAGTTTCACCACATACAGAGAAGGCTATAACGTCTACGGAACAGAGAGCGTCAAAATATAATGGTTCGTCTAAGGATGTTTTATGTGTATGTTTTGAATGTTTGTTACTAGTGATACCATTTCTTAAAAAAAAAAGTTATTAATGATGGGAGGTCTACATCTGATGAGTGATGATATCAGAGTTTGTGTTCAATTCTGAGGTAAGTAAAGTTTTCCACTGTGTTAAAGCTGCTGTTAGCTATTTGTTTTTAGAAGAGCAGTTGTTCTGAGAAATCACACTTGTCTCTTTAACTGCCCTAGGCGCTGTAAACATAAAAAAAAAAAAATCTGAGCGTGGCCCAGTCAGCAGAGTTGGAGCGTGTCATTTTGTAATGAATTACACTACCGCTCAAAAGTTTGGGGTCGGTCTTCAAGGAGAAGTCTTATACTCTAAAGAAGTCAGCAAGACTTAGACTTGAATCTCTTATACACACCATGGCTCCATTTATCTTCCCAAAAATGCTGTAAATAATAATAAATATTATTACAATTTACAATAGCCGTTTTCTAATTTAGTGTTTAAAATGTAATGTATTCCTGTGATGCAAAGCTGTATTTTTTGCAGCCATTACCCCAGTCTTCAGTGTCACATCAATCATTCTTTAGAAACCCTTCTAATATGCTGATTTGGTGCCCAAGACATTAGATTATCAATATTGAAAACAGTGATACTTAATCTTTCTTGGAAGCTGTGATTTTTCAGGATTCCTTGATGAATAGAAAGTTCAAAAGAACAGCATTTATTTGAAATGGAAATCTTTTGTAACATAATAAATGTCTTTGTCACTTTTGATTATTTTAATCCATCCATTAATTTACTGACCTTGAACTTTTGAACAATAATGTATATAAAATAAATAGTTACTTATATTAAAATGGAACCAAATATAAAATAAATCAATTTTGATTTTTGTCATTTGAAATAGTGGCATTTTGCCAGTAAGAGAATTTGGCCAATCATAAAACTTGAAGGTGCCTCTCAACCTGTCACATAGAAGGTGCTCTCTAATTCAGTGCCTAAAGTGCGGTCACATTTACCATTTTTCAGGGAATTTTCAATAGGAATCTGTCCGATCAGGAATGTTGCACGGAAGCGAAATATTTCCCCACACATATTTTGCATCGGGTTTAAGTTGGTCAAGCAAATTTGCTTGAAAGCTGCTTGATTTGAAAGTGACTTCTCTGTGTGCTGTGCTTCATACAATATTGACAATAGACAATGGACCTTTTACCTGTAAAATGTTGCTGATATTTTACTAATGTGACCTCACTTTTAGTCTGGTGGTACTTACAGCAGCTTTAAGTTGGTGCCATGAATCAGAGGCTCCATCTCTTCAAACTTCCTGCATTTAGTTCAGTGCCATTGGTGTCGGTGAATTGTGTTATTGTCAAAAGAACGTATCTTCCTGCAAGTCTCAAATGGGTTTGGCTGCTGTCTTTTCTTATTCTCAGATTTGAAGCCTGTCCCTTGCTGATCATGTCGTATGCGGCATGGGATAGACTCTCCGTCTCTTTGAGGCGACTGTGATTTCCCTTTAGAAAGTGGACACGCACCCAACCAAAACCCATCTCACCGAAACATTTGTCTTCTCGGCTCTGACCACAACCTGAACCAATCACGCGACAGACTATCGGATGGACCAAACACCCGCCCACCCTCTCTCAGTGCCTTACTGAACCAGTGGCAAAACAACGAAACATGCAGGCCATCCCACCAAAGTCCTGGAGATGTCCTGCTGGGTGCTGGGTCTCAAACCATATTTAAAACGTATTCTTATTATGAGAGGGAAAGACGGTGAAGGAGGGAGGGAGGGAGAGATAGACACACACACCATAGAGAGGTTTGATCTCCTGATCAGTGATGACAAGTGTTTAACGAGCGACAGTCAGCTTGTCTCCATAAAAACTCACACCAAAAGAGTTTCTGCAAACAAACATATTATGCAAACTGTAGTAAATGTTTTTGAAGGATTCTGCTCATTAATTTGTTTCAAAAATGTGTGCTGTGATTCTGTCCTCATCAACTTATGTTATGAATAATGTAAATAATAATTTCAGATACATTATGGCATCAGAGAACTTCTGTCAATATTGTTTTCCTTTCACAAGTTACAGTTTATTTCGATTTATTATTTCATAGTGCATTTGCTTTAGCAGGAGAGTGAATTCATGCTGTGTGCGTGTGTGTGTGTGAGAGAGTTAATATTACCGTTTTGTGTACTCAAAACCCAACAAGGGTGGAAGATGCTGAATTGTTATTGCCATATTACTTTATTCTTAAACATAGGAGATAAATAATGACAACACATTCATATAGCATCTGCAACAACAAAAAAATCATATTCGTCACTATCATGGATAAGTTCTTCAAGTCAAGTTTAGGAAACAACAGCAAAATGTTTAATAGTTTGTATACTTTGGTTTTAAAAATACTTTAATAAACTGTGATTGTCACAGGTATGATATCTGTTAAACCAATTTAAAAAAGAAAGGAAAACACATGGATCTTTGATTTTATAAATCCAGATAAAGCCACTCTGTTGAAATTCTTAACATTTGTTTAGATGGTAAAATGCATATTTATTTTGAAGATTTTATATAACTGACTTCTGTATGATTTCTAAGTGAACTTGCATGTACAGTAAGGATGAAAACTGCTTTCCCCTCAGTAAAGCCTCCCTTGACATGCCCCTCTTCCCATATCCTCCTCCATTCCTGGTTAATAATAATAAAAGAATGAATAGAAAACAATGAAATGATCTAGATACATCCTGACGAAAACAATAGTCTGTCCCGCTGCATGACTGCATCCCACTTAAACATTTAAGTATATTTTGTAAATAAAGACAGATTTAAGACAAATTTCTACTGACTAATGTGTGATTTTTGCTCGTGAGTTTGTACTTGTGTATATGTATTATTATCTCAAACATTATTATTTTTTGTCATTGATGCTTCTCGTTGTCTGTGCACGTTAGGGTGATAGGAGAAAGTATTGTAACGTTGAAAAAACACCTCATTAATTTTCATCTTTTATCAGGGCCGACAGCTTCCAACTGCTGATTGACATGGTCCACTAAACCACAAGAAGACCATGAGATCATGTCAGAAGCTTTGCATTCTAGATTACTGTTAAATGAAGAGATGATCTTATTGATGATAACTCAATTACAAATAAGCCTCATCACAATTGCAATAGATGCCACCTGCTGAGCAAATAAGCGCCTGCTGCTGTGCATGCAAATGTAGTACATGTTGCACAGCAGCAGCTGACAGTTATACAGGTTTGTGTGATAAGAGGTTAATGGAAAAGTGCTTTACCGTAACTGTTTTTAGATCGTTATGACCAGTGTAGTTCTGCTTAATTCTTCTGAAGGTTTAGCTATTAATAAAGGCTGGTGTGGCGTAGCGGCCAGTCCTGGGCTGATCATCAGAGGGTTGTTGGTTCGAACTTCGATCCATTGAAACATCATCATTCAGGAGGACTATCTCATCTGTAAGTGTGAATAATTAGTGGATACATGCGTCAGCTAAATTACGAGTTTTTTACCTTAGAGTAGGCTATGTGTTTCTAAAAACACATGGACAAATGTAAACGTTAAAAAGACACTGTTATTTTCTTATAGAAGGTCCTGTATTTATTCCCATTGCAGCAGCTCTGCAAACTGATCTTACGAGTTGTATTCAGATGCACCCGCCACACCCCACCAATGCCATTACGCTCTCATTTCTCCATGACTCAGTGGTGTTTATTTTAATTTATAAGCTTCGTGTTTGGATTAGACGAGCTTTTGCTGCCTACATCCGCCTTATTTACTTACTTACTTATTTATTTATTTATTTTGTTTCGCTGCCGGTTTGTAAGATTGCTCGTGTCCCTTCGGTTGCTTGGCAACGCGCGTGGCAGTGGGCGCTCCTGACCTTGCGTCCGCGACCGCGCACAGCGCGCGCGCTTAAAATAGACCCGGGGAGATTGACGTTAATTGAAAATAAGAAAAACGCAAGAAGAGCTGAGCGCCGTTCATACGGCTCGACGAGGAAAAAAGGGGCATGTTGGATGGTGGGAACGATGAGATATGAGAATATTACAGTGCACGCTCGGATGCGATACCGGCTGAGCGATTCGGCAGGTGAGCCCAAAATTTTCTTATTTATGGCTGATCTGATGCACGCCGTCGATTCTCAATATCAGCCAGCGGTGAGAACGAACGATCTCGAGTAATACGAGCAATTTTCCGATGCTGGTGAATAAAAAAAATATGGGTAGATGAAAAAGGCGTGAATTGGATTGTATGAGTGTATGTGGAACGCGTTTTGATTGAACAATGAACGATGGTCTAATGAATGCGCCGCATTGCTTGTGTTTGGGAAATGGCTACGATAAAAGGATGTGGGTTTTGTAAAGTAATTTTTTTCATTTTCTTTATTTCAATTGATTTGATAAGATTTTAACGGCATTTTCATTCTCATCTGCAGCATGAAAGCTTGCAAGCAGGAGAGAGAGAGAGAGAGAGAGAGAGAGAGAGAGAGAGAGAGAGAGAGAGAGAGAGAGAGAGAGAGAGAGAGAGACGAATTGATAGAGAGAGACGAATTGATAGAGGTAGAGAGGATTATCATTTGAATAACCTCAAAGCCGTAGTTTGCAGCATCTGGGCTGTGGGGTCTTTCATCGTAAACAGTCGGCTTTGTAGTTCTAGCCTACTCGTTGTCAGACTACATTAAACTTATTCGCATCTGTTTGAAAACACATCTGCCTGCCTGCACCGTTATTTAGCTGTTCTACAGGCCTGTCTGCGCGAGGGACACACGGGGGTCGAGTTGTTCTCCGCGTGCATGCTCAATACCCGCTGGTATATTAATCACGGGCAGTGCGTGACGCTGCGCGCGTGTGAATTAAAGCGCAGTTCGTCACCTGTTGGAAAGGTAACTGCAGCGCACGCGGGAGTGCCAGTCAGAAACCAGTGTCGCGACCGTCCGTGTGGATGAATCCAGGAAGCGAGACCGGTACCGAGTCCAAGTTGTCCTAGTGATTTTACCATCTGCTGACTTGGTTTGCTTAAAGCTTTGCCAGCGCGCGCACTTGTGTGCGTGATACAAGGGTGGATGAACCCAGAGCTAAAAAATATATTTACAGAAACGCGAGTAGGCTACGTTTGTTTAGGCGTTATGTTGTATGTTTACGTTACAAAACACTGGCATTAGCCGATTCGAGGGAAGGGTCGTTACACCACGTACAGCTCGTTTCACGAGCTACTTATCAGATGTGCAGTGAATACTGAATCTCGCTAGAGTTTTCATAATGAATGCCCCCGCATAGTTTATTATCCGCGCGCCATCCCGCCACTGCACCGTTCAGTCGGAGCTACGGAGGAGGAGGAGGGGGAGGAGGGGGAGGAGGAGGAGGGACAAGACTATTGGTATTCATCTCTCGTATGGTAGTCTCTTTCACCGTCCCCGCCGTGAGTCCGGGGAACACACACATACTCCCCATTCCCTATTCCTAATGAATGCAGAAAAGAAACAGGTATACCCTATCATTAAACCTGAATAGGCAATAGCACCAGTTTCATGTAAACAGAGCTGAATTCGTCAGTTCAATGAAAGCAGACTTTATCATTTCATTTCTCGCACAGTTATGTGGGTTAAATATCAAGGACCTCAATTTTGAAACACTTTTACCCTACAGCTGACCTGATTCAGGCGCGCGCTGTCCTCCCCTGTCCGCTCGCTATTGGAAAATGGGCACTGGAATAAACGGACTCCCAGTATTCTCTCGATGGGCCCCCACGATTCAGATTAACTGACCCACATTACAAGGGTGGATGAACCCAGAGCTAAAAAATATATTTACAGAAACGCGAGTAGGCTACGTTTGTTTATTATAGCCTACTGATATTCTACAGGTAGCTAATCTAATCAGCACCATGGACAGCGACATGAGTGAACAACAGTAAAAGATCCACAAAAGAGCCCGTGGGTACACTTAAGGCCTGGATGGCTTATTAAATGCAACATTTTAAAAGATGGAAATATTAGTTTAGGCTTGTATCTATAAGGTTTGTATTACACAAACAAGTTCATTATAATTTAAATATTGACTAAGCTAAATCGCTCAGTTTGATTGACTAAACATCATGTTAACTGCTAGCTAGCAAGTGGTTTTGAAACAAGCATATCTACACTTACATTAAACATTATACACTAACACATCTCTCCCTATATTAATCTTCTGCTACAACACACAAAACAACACTTAATTCCAACATGTATTCTCCTTTTACAGTCTGATGCAATAATGGGATTTAAAAATCAGTTCTTCAGTTTAATATAATATAGTTAAGTTCAGCTTAATATAATCAATTACTGAGTTCACATGACTTTTTTTCTATTAAGTACAACAAACTTAGTAATATTTGATCTGTAATATTTGAGTGAAATTAACTAATTTCATTAAGTTAATTTCACTGTTCAGTCAGGCATGATGGGAAATTATCTTGCCATTGTGTAATTCATCAAGTTATAATTGATGGTTTTGATGCCTGAACTTGACCAGCGTATATTTCTGAAGGTCTGGTGTACCTTTAATCGAAATACTTTTCAGAGTTCAAGAGGTGCTGCATAATGGGAATGACCCAGTTAATTGCACACTGAATAATTGTAATTATTTGATCCTGTAGGTTGCTATTTTAAGGCATAATAATGCTAGTGATGAGTCTGCATTACAGTTGCTTTTGGTTAAGTTGAGATCAGTTTGTTTCTGTGTATGGGATTTTTTAATTTTGTGTTGTGTGCAGTTCTAAAGTTGAATTTACTGGAAAGGCAATTATATAAAATAGGTCATGATATAAGCACCTGCTCAACACACCAGTGTTTTACACCACTGTGAACGAAAGTCGTTTCACGTGCCAGGCATGTAGAAATCAAGTATTTTAGGTTCTGTACTGGAAGTTGTTAATTATTTTGCATTGCATAGTGTTTTGCTCATATAATGTTCCTGAAATAGAAATCGTAGGGGGTTTTATATAAATTTGGAATATCTTGATATTCACTTTTATTTCTGTAATGTCTATGAGATCAAAACTCTGGTACAGAATTATTTGATAATTTACTTTTGTTTACATCTCAGGCTGTAAATGGTTGCAAATCAGTCCTTTTTTAACCCAGAAAGTGTGCATTTCTGTCAGATCCTTAGGAAAGCTTACAGATTTGGTATTTGCATGATCTGTAAACAGTGCTTCTGGGGCAGTGAGTTAGGAAATGGGGATTATTGAGCCTGATGTCACTTTTTTTTTTTTGTCTTTAAAAATGTAACTGCTTAAAGTGTAACTTTGCTGTTTTTCAACCCACTTTGTATTGTTACAATGTCAGTATATAAATTGACAAAGTTTAGTCGTTCTCTGTGCTACCTGGACCGAGAAATTCATGTTTATGTGTCAGCAAATGTCTTGGTGACTTTTGACAGCTCCAGGGCTAAAATGAAAATGGCAGTTTCTTTGTTTCCCCCCTCCGTTTGGCCTTAAACACTGTATTCGTAGTCATCTAGCCTTTAGCCACGGCCTACAACGCACTGGATCCTTTTACTGCAAACTGAAAGTAACTCACTCCCGCTAAACGTTTACTCTTTGAATACTTGCACCAGGGAACAATACAAGTCAACACCATTATAACTAAAAGTTTGCTAAGAAGTATTTCCTACTTAAGCAAGGCGGTATTCGACGACAGCCAAGTTTTACTGAAAGCCCATTTTGCCAGGGGTGGGAATCACAGGGTACCTCACGATACGATACATGCCTCACAATACCGATAAAATCACGAGACAGCAATTCTGCGGCAAACCTATAATGATACATCACTAT